GGAAAATGTCAGGAGAGAATGCTTCTGGAACATGGCCATACAGCCCAGAAAACTCACAGCAACTCAGTGATTCTGGCCATGAAAGCCTTCCACAACACATTATTATGTTTATTTATACCCTGCTTTTTCTCTCCCCAAGAAGACTCAAGTTGGCTTAGATTAAAAACATTTCAGTACTTAAGATCTACAAATATACAAACATTAAAACGGAATTAAATATCATTGATATTAAAATAAATTCAGTTAAAATCCACAAAAACTCATTCAAAAGTAAAAATGCAGCAGACCCTGACTTGATCCTTAAAACCTTTTAAAGCCTGCATTAGATTACCAAATGTAATGTCCCTTTATACACACTGCTTTATATTAATTTCCCAGTATTCCTTTATCTGATTTGTCATCAACACACTTAATGGACTGCAAAAATATGATCCTGTGTGATTCCTTTCCATTGCTGGCCGAATAGTTTAAATTTGGATAATATTTTGACTTTGATATTTTAGCAATTACATTTTGCAGCAGTGTCTTTTGGGTTGCTAACTCTTGTCCTTCCACTTATCCTTCCATCAGTTCCAGGGCTCAATCCCAACTGCTGTTGGACGAGACACTATGGAGCTCTATATTTATATTTCCACAGTACAAAGTGGCAAAATCAAAGACTGCTTTGGGATTTTTTTAAATGTTTTCAAACCATGGATGGTTGAAGCAGTGGTTGCAGAACACCAACTGTGTAACACTGTCACTGTACGAGTAAAGCAACAACAAAATGCTCCCCTGCCCTTAGGTGTATAATTTAATTAAAACATGACACAAAGGCAAAGGGATGCCAGTGTGGGAAGGGATGAAGGGCCTGTCCAGACAGGCCCTATATCCCAGGATGTGATTGCAGGTTTTCTGTTTATCCTGGATTATCTGGCAGAGTGGACTCATATGATCCAGTTTAAAGCTGAAAACCTGGGATTTATTTATTTATTTGTCATGTCAGAACAACCAGTCAAATTATGTTACATTTCTAACAGAACAAAGCAAAACAAGCAGATTACAAAATTTGTGAGTATGGTAGTTGATTAAATGTCCTTTGATCAGTATCTGGCCACTTGGAGTGCTTCTGGTGTTGCCGCAAGAAGGTCCTCCCTTGTGCATGTGGCAGGGCTCAGGGTTCATTGCAGCAGGTGGTCAGTGGTTTGCTCCTCTCCACACTCGCACGTCGAGGATTCCACTTTGTGGCCCCATTTCTGAAGGTTGGCTCTGCATCTCGTGGTGTCTGAGCGCAGTCTGTTCAGCGCCTTCCAAGTCGCCCAGTCCTCTGTGTGCCCAGGGGGGAGTCTCTCATCTGGTATCAGCCATGGGCTGAGGTGCTGGGTTTGAGGCTGCCACTTTTGGACTCTCGCTTGCTGAGGTGAAACACAAAAGAGGCATGCACGAGGCCTCTTTTCCCACGTGCCCGGCAATGCCGCTGCGCATCCCTCTCTCGGCATTAGGAAATGTGCGCCCTGCATCGCCCTCCTTCTCCATGCACTTCCTAACGCTGGGAGAAGGATGCACACTGGCGTTGTTGTCTCCCTTGGCCTGCAAGGAGGAGGAGGAGAGGAGGACAACGTGCGCACTTGTGAGGGAAGGATGGAGGGAGAGCATGCTCCCTGCATGAGGGCTCTTTTTCCGTGCGCCTGGTAATGCCGGCGCGTGTCCCTCTCCCGGAGTTGCAAAGCGTGTGGGGGAAGAGAATGCAAAGCGCATACCCAGGAGCCGATGGAGCACAGGGCCTCTTCTCCTGTGTGAAGAGGGGCAGCATTGCAAGTGCCTCTCCAGGCAGCTGTGCCATCACCCCTCTCAGGGCGGCAAGGAGGTTTCTTCATGAACGGAAGTGACTGAAGGTACTGCAAATCTAAATTATTGTACATGTTTCCCCAAAACCCCTCCAGTATCAGAGTCTATTTTCCCCAAATCCCTTCAGTATTTTGTGTTGGAACTACATCAACACTGACAAAGAAACAACAAGAAATACTATTTACCCACAAGCATTAAGAAATTACATATATTAGAAACCAACTTTCTTATTACTTTCTTTTCAAGATCACTAGACTGGACACAGCAACGCGTGGCAGGGGATGGCTAGTGTGTGTGTGTGTGTATGTATGGCTGGCATGGGCCAACTTCAGCCCTCCATGTGTTTTGGACTTCAATTCCCACAATTCCAAACAGCCAGTAGGAAGTCCTAAATACCTGGAGGGCCAAAATTTGTCCATGCCCCCATAGATAGATAGATAGATAGATAGATAGATAGATAGATAGATAGTGATTGGTTTTGGGGGAGGGGGGGGCGCCAAAATACTGTTTGCTTACCATTGAAAATTACCTAGGGCCGCCTCTGTCTGCCATAACATCACTTCTGGCTTTTTTAATGCCTCGATGGGAAGATTGTGGTGGTGGTCAGAGGCTTCTGGCCCCTGAGGTTGCATTAATGCTTTGCCCTCTCCATGGAATGATACTCAACTTTTCCAGAAGGCATATCAAAATCTATAATTTTGGCCCCTAAACCAGCCCTCAACTTATACACAAGGGAAATTATACATTAAAATAATAATTTATGTTTATAATAATGTCCAATATTCCAGAGGAAGAGGGGCACTGGAGATCAAAGAAAATAAATGCTTTCTGCAGTTCTGTTGATTATAAAAATTAAATCACTTTCAAAACATATCCAGTTATGTTTAGAAAAAAGAATGTTTGCTTCCCCAACTCTCATTACAGGTAATGATTTGGGGCTTTTTTGCCATTTTAATAATAAACATTTGTTTTGTTTTCCATATTACATTTATAGAAAATCGGTTTACAACCATAAATATCTGGGGTTTTTTTTTAAATGGAGTCGTATCTTCTGTTTCTGTAGGTGAAGCTCAGTTCTTAATTAATCACTCCGTTCATGATCACTTTTGAAATCGTTCTAGTTCATTGACTGGTTTGCTTCAGTTTGAACTTATTCTTCTTATGAGGTGGCAGGCAAAAGAAGAAAAATGCTGCATTTAACAACATTCTTGTTGGAAATGTGCAGTATAAATTGGTGTATTAAATTACAGACTTATACACATATACAAAAGTAATAAGGCATTGCTTTGTGAAAAATATGTGTATTGATGGTGCTAAATAAATACATAAATAAACCATAGCATTGAAAGAGGCCACATGGGCCATCCAGTCCAACCCCTGCCATGCAGAAAAAGTATTATTTATTTATTTATTTATTTACAGTATTTTTACCCCGCCCATCTCAACCACTGGGGGGGGGGGGAGGATTCAGAGCAGCTCAAAAGCATTGCTACTTTCCACATTTATATGTGCCTAATTATGTTTTTTTAAAAACGTTCAATACACACTTGTCATTTTTAGCATCAACAGTGCTGTTCCTTTCCATTGTTTTCTTCAGCTGCTTCCTCCAGTTGCTCTACATGCTAATGGTCATGCTAGCTGCAGGATTTCAGGAGCTGCAGCCATCAGTGTAATTTTTCTGAACTATTTTATTGTAAATGTGTACCTGTGTTGCATTAACATCCCCAATATACCCATGGACAAAATGGAAGACAGAGATTAAGAAATAATAAACTTAATGCAACATTTCTGTATATAGAAATACAGCCTGCCCCCTTACCTTGCTATCTAAGGTTTCACTTAGCAATGTTGCAAAAATATTCCCTCCAGAAGTGTTTGTGGGCTTGTCTAGTGCAATTCTATGGTAGTCTTCCTGCCAGGTATATGAGATAATAGCACTGGAGTACCTAAGAAATCTACAAATGAAGTGTTTGTCGACATCTCTAGATCCTCCAATGTTATTCTGATATATACTTCCCTAGTCATAATATAGTATTATCTATTATTTGCTGTTTTGGGTATCCATGGATGGTGGCAGTGTTCTGGAATATCTCCTTCATGGTGATCATAGTACAGGCCCGTAGCCAGGATTTCGTTTCGGAGGGGGGGGGGGGCTGAATTTTTTTCAGGGGGCCGGTTTGGGGGGGGTGAGGTTCGGGGGGGCTGAGTTTCGGGGGGGGCTGAGTCTGAGTGGAAGAGGGTCTACCCTAGCAAACCTTTTGTATCATTACCCCAATACCCCCATGCATATGGGATATATTGAGTATGGTGATCAGATCATGATATGAATAAACATAACAGTTTAAATAATGCACCAGTAAGGCCTTTTCGCGAGCCACCATGAGAATTTGGGGGGGGGGCTGAAGCCCCCCCGAGGCCCCCCCCCCCCCCCCCCCCCCGGCTACATGCCTGTCATAGTATATAATTTCTTAAAGTAATTGCTGTTATCCTCCTTCATTACTCTTATCCAAAATATAATCAGGACACACACTGTGTGGGCGTGCTCCATAACCTTGAGCAGATTGCTGGTCCTACATATTTATCTGATCTCAGCCTTTGGTTTAGCCCCATCTCAGCCATGGCTGATGTGATCAGTAACCATAGTGATGCAACTGAAAGTATAAACAGACTGGGTGAGATGAGATGAGATGAGATGAGATGAGATGAGATGAGATGAGGGGTTTTTTTCCGTGTCAGGAGCAACTTGAGAAACTGCGATGAGATGAGATGAATTGAGATGAGATGAGATGAGCCTGCTGTGATGCGTCCCTTTGCAGTTTGGGGAAGTTTAGGGATATCAAGGATGCTTCACTGAGCTGTCACCTAAGGGTTCATAAACAGAAATCTTTACCTGCTTCTTAGGACCAGTGTCATGGATGGATTCTTGGAGTTGTAATCCAAAAATGGAAGTTTCCAAGTTCTACTTAGAACATAGGGGAAAGGAATTCAGTTTGTGCATAAATGGATACGGTGCTCTATGTTCAAGCTAAATTAGGGAAGATCAGTAGCAGGTGATGGGAAAGACTCTTCCTATCTGACACTTTTGAAAGCTACTGCTTAAATGTCTTTCTGACCTGATATAACATAGCTCCCTGAATCCCATCCATATCACCTAACTCTATTTTTTCTTACAGATTTTGTCCAAGAAGGAGTATACATCTTGTTTCTCTTCAGTTATTCTAATTTACCTTCAAGATATGTAAGTGGAGAAATTGTCCAAGAGTAACACAGCTGGGACTCTACCAATTCGTTTTTGGCCTGACCTATGAAATCGAGTGCAGTTTCTAACGTATCACATCACTTAATATGTCCCAATGATTACTGTGAAAGCAGGAAAAAGAAGGTGAAGAAAAGGGTGAGACAAAACCAAAAGAACTGGCTAGAACATAAGAAACATGAGAGGAAACCTGCTAAATCAGGAACTATAAGAGATCGAGGCTGGCATCAGATTTCCAAAAGAAACTCTTGGTGGAACGTTGCGAACAGGAGAGTTTCAATATGTTCAGCACAATACTTTTCTTGGATCCTTCTGGAGCAGAATGAATGAGATGAGGACTTGTTTAGCCATACCAGTCTTCCTACAGATATATAATCAGAGATGGTATTGGATTTCTCTTGCTGAGGAAATGCATTTTGTCACAGTTTATAGGGACTGATAGGGGAAAAATACAAGAATGCAGATAAATTAGAATCTAACATAGCAGTTCTTTCGGAGGCCACTGCCATGGAAATCTGCATGAAGTAAAAACAGCAGTTGTTTCTCCTGTCATCATGAATTCTACAAATGTTACAGACAGTTCTCTCCACCAGGTGCTGATTGGGATTACCCTTACAGTCCTCGTGGTTGTGACTGTTTGTGGCAATGTTATGGTGTGCCTTGTAGTCTGTTTAAATCGAAGGCTCCGCAGCCTGACCAACTGCTTCATTGTCTCCCTGGCCTTCACAGATCTGCTACTGGGCTTATTGGTGATGCCCTTTTCAGCTACATATGAGATCTCTTCCCATACATGGTCCATGGGCATTACTTGGTGCAATATCTACATTAGCTTAGATGTCATGCTGTGCACGGCCTCCATCCTCAACCTCTTCGTGATTAGCCTTGACCGCTACTATGCCATCACAGCACCTCTCCGCTACCATTCCGTGGTCACTCCCTTCCGGGCAGGTGTAGCTCTGATCCTTATCTGGGTAGTGTCACTCATGGTCTCCTTCCTGCCCATTCATTTGGGCTGGAATACCAATAATACAACTATCCAGAATACACATGTCATGGATAGAAAACAGGAATGCATGCTTGAGGTCAATGCTCTCTATGTACTAGTGGATGGCTTGCTTACTTTTTACCTCCCTTTGGTTGTCATGTGCATTACATACTACCGTATATTCAAAATAGCCAGGGAACAAGCACAGAGAATCAACTACACCAGCTGCTGCATGAATGCTAGAAATGCATTGCCAACTTTGAAGGAACACAAAGCCACTGTGACCCTTGCTGCTGTGATGGGAGCCTTCATTATCTGCTGGTTTCCTTATTTTACAGTGTTCATGTACCGGGGCATACAGGGTGCAGTATATGAAACATTACTGACCATTGTCGTGTGGCTTGGGTATGCCAATTCAGCCTTGAACCCTATCTTGTATGCTGCACTGAACAGGGACTTCCGAACAGCTTATCAGAGGTTGCTCCGATGTAGGAAGGTGGTACCAGAAATCAGAAAAATTCCTCTCAACCAGGAGATGAGGGACAAGACCTTTAATCAGGCACAGTGTAAACTGGAGAATAATTCTCTACAGCTGCATACAGTGGATGAAAAGGGAAATTCTCTTGTCCGAGACAGCTTGGAAAGGTAAGATGTTTCTGAGTGACCTTGCAGGCTCAATAATATTGTTCTGATGGTAGTAAAAGGACTGAAACTGAATAACATCTATTTTGATTCTGAATTCATGTGAAATGTTGAAGAGGCACAAGCTTTGTAGACAATTTTATGGGCCAAGCATCTACTGATAGAGAATACTCAAATAAATTAGGGTTTGTGGTTAAGTGCCTTTAAGTCAGCTCCAATGTACAGCAACCCTATCATGAGGTTTTCTTAGCAAGACTTCTTGAAATTGATGGTGACCATAAGGAAAACCAATCACAGGGGTTTCTTGATAAGATTTCTTCAGAAGTGTTGCCATTGTCTTCATTTGTGTCTGAGAGAGAGTAATTTTCCCAGGATCAATCACTGGATTTTCACAGATGTGTAAAGCTTTGAACTCTGGTCTCCTTGAGCTCTGTTCTAATATTTACATCACACTGGCTCTTACTCAAAGTTGGTTTACCCTCAAACTTGAGAAATTCATTCAGGAATCATTTTCAAAATGATTAAAGCAAATGCACAAGATGAACCTTTGATTCCTAATACGTTTCTAAAACAAAATGAAACAGAAGTATCTCTCTTACGAGTGTAATAAGAACCAAAATATGTAGTGATTTTAGTTTTGGGTGAGAACACTGGGATACCATAGTTTCAAACCCACTTGGTAATCCTTGGGCAAGTCACATTCTGTTTGCCTCGGATAAGGCAAAGGCAAAACCTCTCTGAACAAATCTCAGAAGAAACACCTGTTATAGATTTGCCTTAGGGTCAACATAAATCAGTAATTATCTGAATGTACACAGCAACAATAGTTTTAGAGGCATATACACAAATTTCTATACCAAAAAATATGACATTTATGCTTATAAATGTGATATCAGCACACATAAAGGATCTCTTTTTATATAACACCTCATGAGTATGAGTTATAAACACCAAGGAATGAACAAGATAGATCAAATTTGGGAGCCCCAATCTGGAAGAAAAGTGGGGTAGATGATGATGATTGGTGATGACAATTACTGAATGAAATACCAGTCACTTGGGTTTAAAAATTATTAGTAAAAGAGAAAAAATGTCCAATAGTAACCTTCACTATGAAACATGGGTGTGTGTGTTTTTTACTGGCAGACTAACACATAAGGCAAGGGTTCTTTATCAAAAGGTGTAGAATAGCGGTTTCCAAATGTTAGCCTTATTGATGTTTTGAACTCCAGGTCTCAGAATTCCTGGCTGTTAGTCAAACTACCCATGACTTCTGGGAGATGAAGATCAAAACACCTGGAGGACCAAAGTTTGGGAATCATTGGTATATAGAATGTAATAATCTATAGCTCCCTTCCCCTGGCAGCTTCCAACTTCTGGGATTGTAGCCATGGTTATTTACAGGCTGTGGAAAGGGTAGGGGAAAATGAGGCAGCCAGGCAACACCTGACTACAATTCTGTAATGGAGAAAGAAGTGAGGTAGCTCCCGATCACCAGCTATGTCCTTTGAGTGCAATTACCTATTCTTATATCAAGACTGTAGCTGTTAACACTAAATTACAGCATAGGATACCCAGACGTTATCAAATTAGAGGAAGCTCCCCAGAATCACAAGGGTCTTGCTAGAGATTGGGAAATGGCAGCCCTTTATGCCCTTGAGCATAAGGCAGATGTTTGATACTTTTACTTTCATATTGATTTGGTTGTGCAGTAGAAGAAACAAAATTGTCTCCTTGAGGGTCCTAACAAACAAATGAGATCATAATCACTTGTTCTTAGGAAGGCCTTTGTTCCTTTGAAGAGACTGAATGGCAATTAATAGTGAAGTAGATGTTTGAGAATGGGGAGAGACTGGCACATATCTAAAGCTTAAAGTACTGAAGGAGATCCTACGTAATCAGCAGTGGAAAGAGCTCATGTAGGCTTAATTGTGTAATCCCTTAGGCAAATAATAATAAGATTTAGGTTCCAAGAAGGTGGGCACAACTGATAACCAGGCTGCAGTGATTGTATTCCTAAAAAGCTAAGGAAAAGGTAGCAGTAGTGGTGGTACTCCTTGCTTCTCACAAGCACATCTGAGTTCCAGTTTCTTCCCAAACTTTTTATCTAAAGCTAGTACTACGACTTGGTCAGTTGAAAAGAAATTTTCCAGCTAGCAGATAGCACTTGCTTTTGCAAGCATGATTCCAGGAAGTGCCAACAAAGATTTGATTCTTCTGTTTTTTCCATGACCAATGCTGGTATGAGGTCATAAAACAAAAAGAAATATTCATGTCTTTCCACTTTTAGTCACTGTTGCTCTTGGCTTCACATCTCTTTCTTTCTCTTTACCCTTTCTGCTTTTTACCCAACCCCTCCTACGCTTCCTTCAGCTTCTTACTCCTTTTAATTATCCACTTAAGGTAAAATAGGTGCAGACAAGATATAATATACTCTATTATAAAAAGTGAGGATGCCACAGATTTTATTTGGGACCTTTGGCTTCATCCAGCATGCAGAACCTGCAATCTTACACTGGCCTTTGCACTCCATACATCTTGACAGGGAGTGAGGAAGCGGAAATGCAGTGGTTCAGTCGTACAGAAAAATATTCTATAGATGCTCAGAGACTCTCAAAAATGCAAATTAAGTGTTCTACATTCTTGATTTACTGATTGGTCTTCATTAGCTATGCACATTTGGATCTCCTTGTGGATCAAATGCCCTCTGTGTAAAATAAAGGACTTATCCTTTGATAAATAAAATATTTGAAAGGGAGTGGATTTTAATGATAACCTTTAATATGTTTCATATCTCTTTTTGTAACTGTTTTTTATTTTCTTGGGTTGTTGTAGTTTTTTCGGGCTATATGGCCATGTTTTAGAAGCATTCTCTCCTGATGTTTCACCTGCATCTATGGCAGGCATCCTCAGAGGTACATGACCATATAGCCCAAAAAACCTACAACAACCCAGTGATTCCAGCCATGGAAGCCTTTGACAATAAGAAATCTTTCTTAGGTATAGTGGGTTTCATCCTTCGTGTAGCATTGCAACCTGAATCAGTTGGTTTGCAGAGAGATAAATAGATTGAGAACTATGTTTACTCTTTAAAAACTCTCCTTGCATGCTAATGCAAGTTCTGCATTTTTGTAAACTTGACCCATTAATTTATTCTGCTTTCATTTTCTAAGTAAAGAGAACACTGTCACAGAAAGTGCCTAACTTGATTCCATACTGTTCATACAATATGCAATTGAATGAAAAGCTTTGGAAAATGCAAAATGCAGGTGTAGTTGAGTCATTGTCTGGAATTTTAGTGGGAAGGGGGAGAGGAGTTTTACATCTCGTTCCACTTCATGTCCAGTTTGTTGGGGGAAGTTTGTTGGGGGAGATTCCAATCATTCCCTAGTTTTCTTTCCTTTGTAGTGCTGTGTGTGTGCATGCCCGTGCCTTTAAGTGCCCTGTCAAGTTTTAACAACTCCATGGGTTTCCTAGGTTTTCTTGGGCAAGGAAAACTCAGAGGTGGTCTTGCCCCTTCTTTCCTCTGAAATCTAACCTTCAACACCCAGTATTCGTTTGCAGTTTCCATTCAAGTATTAAAGGAGGTTGACCCTGTTTAGCTTCTAAGATCAAAGGGGATCTGTTGGCTAGAGTATTTAGGTTACTGTGTATTTTAAGGGCCTTTGGACCATAATAAAATGTTATTGTACTATGTAATAAGATGCCATTATCACATAAAGAATCCAAGAGATGACAAATGAAAGAATGCATAAAAATTATTGAGATTTTGGATACACTGGAATAGTGTAATAAGCAGCACAACAGACTAAGTAGGAAAATAACTGATGGTTGTAAGCTAAAGGGATACTTATTCATAACAGACTTGAGAAAGCAATTATGAAATTGGATATACAGTAATTCATCACCAGGGACGAATTTCTAGATTTTTAAGAATTGTCTGTCTAGGTTGCATAAGGGGTCAGGCAAAAATTAGTCAACAGAGAACCTTTCATCTCCAAAACATTGTATTCAGATCTTCAGATTCTCTGAAAACTGCTGCCAGATGTTCCCTTTGTTCTCTGTGGTAAGAATCACCTTGTGTCAGATTCCTGTGGGGCTGTCACCTGAAAATGTAACTAGGCCATAATCAAATGGAAATGTTTTTTCCTCCAAACGAATCCTTCTGTATCAATGATATGCTGGCTGAGAACATAGCACTCTAGTGTTCATCGTTAAAGTGTCTGTTATTCTTACCGATAGTATGTTGTCATACAAGTATACATAGAACAATAAAATATAAATAAAGCAACAAAATATAGAATCAATACAAAAAAGTAGCCAAAACAATCTACAATGAAATCAGAGAAATCAATTCAACTAAACAATTGCTGTGTGGAAAGTATTCCACATCTCAGGTGCTATAACTGAGAATATTCTTTCCTTTGTTGATATGTAGTCTGTATAGGATACTAGCATATGTACTTTGGGAGACAATGTGCAAGGAGAAATTCAGGGCTCTTCCACACAGTCATATAACCCATAATATCAAGGCAGATAATCCACAATATCTGCTTTGAATTGAATTATCTGAGTCCACACTGCCTTATAATCCAGTTCAGTGTGGATTTTATATAGCTGTGTGGAAGTGGCCACGGTATCTCCTTGTACAACACAGCTAAGCAACAGCAGCTTGGGGAAAGGGAACTCTCAAGTGTAGTTTTTTCCTGTCTCTTGGCCACTGTCTGGACATAAGGATGCACTCAGTCACTTTCCTGCCATCTTTGGGCAACAAAGGACCTCAGCCCATGGGGGAAGGAAGCAGGGGAAAGTAGGAGAAACTGTCTTCTATCTTTGTGTTTCTTGCCTTTCCTTGTACAGAGAATGGCTGTCTCTGCATCATACGTATTGTTTCAACAGCAATCACCACTATAGTTACAATCATAAAACAGTACAACAGACACCCAGCAGTTGCCATCACACATTAAAGTACCTGCTTTTCGCTGCTTCCAAGTAAATTGAGA